ATTTAGATTCCCTTGGTCAGTAAGCACCAGCTGTAGATTTTGAGGCTGGGATCGAAGCAGACCCATTTGGAGTTCCTGGGCTTCTCTTCACCATCAAGCTGTTTCTTCTCTAGCAGACAGTGGACGGCGGAATTTCACAGGCAGTAAGGTATTTACTGGAGACAGTTTGCTTTTAGGTCTGCCGAAGACTCAAGGCCAAAGAAGGGTCAAGGTGGAATGGAATAAGCTGTGGCGATGTAACAAAGACACAGTTCCCTTGTATTGTGTGACTTGAGCCAAATACAGCCTGCCTGGGATGCTGCTATGGTGTAGGGATGATTCACGCTTCAAATTCTCAACATTGGGATCTTGTTCTTTGGTGTGTTGGGGTTACAGTGTTAAGTCTTTAAAAGATGGGACTTAGCAGGGAATGGTGTCCCCGCTAAGGGAAGTTCTGATGGGATACGGTGTCCTTATGGGTGGTTATCATTGAAGAGCAAGAGTGCCCTGCCCCCACATCCTGTCTTACTGTGTGAACCTTTCCTCCCACGTGCGCTGCCACTACGGTGGTGATATCCAGCATAGGTTCCTGTTCAGAGCAGAGCTGAGGTTAGGGCCATGCCTTTGAGCCTCAGAACTATGAACTAAATAGTGTGTGTTTGTGTGTGTATTGTATGGTGTATGCAAGTATCTGAATTTGGATGTGAAGGCCCATTGTTGATGCTGGATAACTTGACCACTGTCTCCCTTCTTTGTTTCAAACAGGGCCTCTCGCTCAACTTAGAGCCTACTGGACTAGCTAGACTGACTGACCAGTGAGACCCCAAGATCCTCTTGTCTCCACCGCCTAGTGTTAGGGTTACACTGCCACAATGAGATGTCTACCTGACTGTTGAGATCAAACTTGAGTACTCATGCTGGCCTGGGAAGCTTTATACGCACTGGGCTATCTCTCTAGCTCAAGCCTCTTGGTCAAATCCCTACCTTGGTTCTTTCTTTCTAGTATCACAAAGACAGCATCTTTCTACAACAAGGGGCCTAACATCAGCAGCAAGAACTCCTAGAGAGCCTTCTGTATTCACTTGGGCTTTGTTTATGGGAAAAAACATTTTTATAGAGATGGTTAGGTATTAATACCTTGTAATTCACAACACATGTTTTGACCATAAAAGTGGCAAAAGGGACCAATCACTTTTAACTATTTCACATGCGTGTATTTGCAGCTAATGCAAAGCATATGTTTTAAATATTTAAGACAAATCTAGGCACTGAGTTTTAAAAGCAACTCCAGTCACTAGATGAGGTCAAAACCAGAGTACATAATGGCTTACCAAACAGACAAACGGATGGCAGAAGAGTACCCACAAACACCTCTTTAAAACATTAGTTTAATTTGACTATTTTTAACCAATCACACAACCAAGTATTTGAACTATAGATGTTATATACGCAATGGAACGTTTTTCAGCCATAAGAAGAAATGAAGTTATGTTGTTTGTAGGATAATGGAGGCAACTGGAGAAAACTTTTTAATTGAGTCCAGAGAAATCTCAGGGAGACACATATATGGTTTCTCTCCTTGTGATTCCTAGATTCCAAGTTTCAGTTTTTATTTGAACTTAGGAGGATGCGTGCATCTGTGTGAATGTATGCATATATATGTGCTGTGCCCACACAAGGGGAAGAGGGCATTTGATCCTCTAGAGCTGGAGTTGCAAAGCTTGTTGTAACCTGGGAGAATTGAATGCTGGGAACCAGCCTTCAGCCTCCTACAAAAGTAGCTGGTATTCTTTACCTGTAAGCTAGCTTTCCACGCCCTGGATTCTGTACACACACACACACACGATCTGAAAGTTGACATAAGACTGCCTAGAGGGACAAATGGAAGTTATAGGAGCAGGACGAGGCAATGATGGGAGGGTAGGAGGGAGCGTGAGGTGTGTTAGCTAGTAGTCACTAGGACTAACTAACTAGTGGATGGGAGGGTTTATTGTGAAGGCAGAGGTTTTCACTGAAACTTTTAGGAGTTTAACGGGAGCATGGCTGCCGAAGTAGGAAGCAGCTGGTCACATTGTGTCCGCAGTCAGGAATAGGGGAGAGAAATGTTGATGCTCAGGTCCTGTTCATTTGGTCCCTGCACTGCCTATGTTTAGGGTCGGTCTTCGCATCTCAATTAACCCAGCAATTTAATTTCTCAGAGACACACCAAGAGATTTATTTCCATGGTGATTTTAGATTCCATTAAGCTGGCAGGATTAAACATCTTGACATATATATGTGCAAAAGACTTTAAAAGTTCTTACTGATGAGTGATTTCATCCAATATGTTCGCTGCAATGGAAATCTCAATGGTAATCTCATCATTAATTCATCATATTTTTAAATAAATTTTCCACCTGCTTTTGTCACTGAGGAGTCACTTTTGCCTACATGGACTTGAACATGCATTTGTAAAAGAGAAGAAAATATCTTTACCCAGGTAATCATGACCGCACCTCACAAATGTGATTACACCACCACAATGCCATTGAACCTGTGTTTTCCTGAGCCTTCAAAATATTGATTTGTTTCCTCTGTTCCTGCTTGCCAATGGAGTGTTAAGAATTCCACCAGTGACTCAGTGGGAGGCTCCACATCCAAGCCAAACTGCGTTTTCCACCAGCGTCTTTTACTTGCTCATTTGCTTCTATTTTCCGAGACCTGGCTGCTCTGTTTCCAGCACTAAGATTATCAGCTGGCTAAGTCATTTCATTTGAGCACGCACAACGACAGCCTCCTTGTTCCCTTTGTGTTGTTTTGATAGAATCATCTTTAGAAATGTCTTGTGTCTGTCTGGAATACAGTTTACATCAGAAGAATATAAGGGACGTGCATGTGCTTCTTTCTGTTTCTGGGTTTCCTAGTGACTCTTAGTGCTGACAATGAGTTCCTCGCTTTATTCTCTGTCTTTACAGATTCATGCATGCTTACTTTTTAATTGCTTACAGCCATTTTGTTTTTTTTTATTGCTTAAATCATCCCCTCCTGTACACATTCAATTGCCTCTTTTATTTTTTGATCCTTATACATTAAATAGCTTTCTAGCTCTGGTGCGCGCATGCGCACACGCACACACACGCACACACACACACACACACACACACAGAGAGAGAGAGAGAGAGAGACAGAGAGAGACAGAGAGAGACAGAGAGACAGAGAGAGAATGAACAGATGTATCCCTCACTCACTTTCTTTTATTATACTTCCATGTGCGGTTCCATGTCACTGAGTCCCATGTGAGAGACTGCAGAGACACACACCTCTGCTCCTTAATCTTGTTGTGTCCTTTGCAACCGTCTCAAACCCATTCCCATCGCCTCAGATTTGCCTTTTACAAATATCACAGCAAGGGACTCATGTGTCATGTGACTCTTGGCTCTCACTGTGGCATCCTGGAGAACTGGCTCTCTTCTCAATGCTCTTCTTTGTAGTCATCTGTTCTCTGCGCCACAAGCTTGCTCACCCGGTTTGCAGTTTCAGATCAGACCACCTGCTTGCTTGCCTATGCACTGTGAAAATCCAAGGGTTCTTTCTAGATCCTAAATAGAAGAAGTTAGTCAGGTATATGGCTTGCTAAATTATTCTCCCTGTTTGCAGCTTGTGTTGGGCAACTGTCTAGATTAGCTTTCGGCTGGTTGAATAAGCCATGGGGGCAGCGGAGAGCACTCTCTTGCTCCCTGGCTTGAGTTTGCTTTTCATTAGCATTTGTGATAGCATGAAACATTTGTCACGTGAACAAACCGGCACATTAGCAAAAACCAAGACATTATTGTTAGTTAAGGTCTACCACGATGCCCTCCATCTCCTCCAGATCCCACCCAGAAAGCCACGTTATACTCAGTTCACCACGACTCTTTAGGCTTTTATTGGCTGTGATCTCCCTTGTTTCTCGTGATTCATAAATCTGACGAGGACCGATCAGGAATTTTGCAGAGTGTGTCTCTGTTGGAATTTATCTCATTTGTTTTCTGGTTCGATGGAAGACATGGGTTTTGGAATGAAGATTGTGTAGGCAAGGTATCATTTTGGCTCATTCCTATTAAGTAGTATATTGCAATCTCCTAACTACCTGGAGTTAGGTCAGTCTCCACAAGTGAAGTGTACAACCTCCTTCAAGACTACACTCACTTCAAATACCATCTTCAAGTATGAAGTATTAAGGCCACCTTACTTCTCATACAAAGGCTATAGATATGGGGGTTCACTAACTCCACAAGTTTAGTGACTTGCTAGAACGACTCACAGAACTCAAGAAATCGCTCAGTTACAGGTGCATTAAAAAGCCATCAAACTGGGAGGAGTCAATGGAATAGGCAGAGTAACATCAGATAGATTCCAAATACGAGGCAACCACCTTCTGGTACATTGATGTTAGTCATCAACCAGCAACTTTTCTTTGTGTTTATGGTGCTGAGGTTTGGCTCAAGGTGTCAGGTCCTAGGAATGACTGACTCTGCCTTAGAACAGGAGACTGAACTCAGCCTGCAGCTTCCGTCCCTTTCCTGAGCTTAAAATGAAGCCAAGCATCCTAACCTTCTGACCCCTTTGTGGAGCTTTTTGACATAACCAGGCTCCCACACTCCACATCTCTGGAGCGTACCTCAAGGCTCTTCATTAGAAGGAAACCAGGCATCACCCGAGGAGCCCATCATGAATGACAAACTCAGTAGACTCCAAAGAACTGGAGGTTGCTTTCCAAGAAACATGAACCAATGCCAGCCAAGTTCTCTAGAAGGAACCATAAAGTGCGATGATTAGTGTTGGGGACACGCCCACATCCCTTCAACCGGGACACGCCCACAAACGTCTGGACAGCGCTGAGCACTCACTGCGCGGCAGTTACACCCTTCAGAATGGCGTGCCTGTGCCTTTGGAATTGTACAACACCCACCCTTTCCAGAACTTTTTCATTTCATAGCACATGCCTGAAAAAGTTTTGTTATTTAATAACATTGTTTTGTATGGGGAGATAAGGTTTACGTTTTTGCCTACTGAATGAAACTAGGTTGCTTCCAGTCACTAGGGACTTGAACCTAGCTAGACTCAAGTGTTTGAAAGGATATGTAATTTAGATCAGTTGAGCAATTGCGTAGAAGCTCTGTGTCTAATCACTATGTTATGACTCTTGTCAAGTCTGTCACAGGGGACCAGCCTAAGTTCTGAAGTTCTGAGCTGGGAGATGAGAGAAAGAATTGAGACTCAGCATCTTCATAGCGTTTGGCGTTAGCAGAGTCCGGGTTAAGCAGCTCGGATGGCTGCCTAGTGGAAGCTCTCGTGTTGATTGGCTGTCATGTTATGATGGATGCTGTTATACCTCCTTCTATATGGTAAGCTGCCTCCAGTGTATCCTGTATTCTGAAATTTCTACTGAGAGCTTTGCTCACATTTAAATTGCTTTCTCATTTTATTATTGTGTTATTTTTTAAAGAATCTTTGTGTGTTTTGTTTTCAATCTTTTATCAGACAAATCTGGCAATTTTTCTCAGTTTATGCCTTATTAAAAACAAACAAAAAAACCCATTTTATCTCTTTTTTTTAGGATAACTGAAACTTCTTGTTCAAACGTCTCTTTCCTTGATTCTTCAAGAGCAGAGTCTCATGGTACAGGCCAGGGCAGCCTTGAACTCCTGATCATGCTACCTCTGCTTCCTGAATACTGGGACTATAGGTTTGTACCATCATGCCTGGCTCATATCTGATTTTCATAAGATTCTGATTATTGTTTTTTCTTTCATGAATTATATGCATTCACATTTCATTCAAAACTCCTTTTTCAGCCCTGTATCTTCCAAAAGATTTAAAATACTTTTTCCTTTTTTCACTGTATTCAGTTTGAGTTATTTTTTGTGGGAGTTAAAAGGTCTCTGCCCAGATTTGTCTGCTGATGTACATGTCTATGGATTTCCCGTGCAGATGTCTGATTAGTCTAAGTTAGGACAGAGACTCTGAAGTCCCTGCTGTAACAATGGTTTATCTATCTCTTTTGTAGTTTTTTCAGGATTTGCCTGATGTTTTAACACCATGTGTGTACGTGTTAGGAAACGTTGAATCTTCTTGGAAAAATGGCAGCTTTTATTGTTGTATACTGACTTTTTAAGGTCTTTTGAATGAATGAAAGTTCTTCATATTCCTTTGAAATGCCTATCTATATTAAGGCCAAGTGTCTTAATTAATATTGAAGCATGGGAACTAAAGTTACTGTAGTTCTCCTTTAAGCTAAGTTCTTTATTTTTAAAAATTATTTATTTTACTCCAAACGGAAAGTTAGATAGACAATACTCACAGCTAACAATAGGGCTTTATGAACAATAAACCTTCATTTCTTGTTGCATAGGAACATGCTATTGTCAGAGTGGAAAGCAGCCAATGTAGACTTTGGAAAAGTAAACAGTTAAATAATAAGTGGATGTGGGATTTTAGAGAAAATGGCTCACATAGCACTAACATAGCACATAGATTTGAATACCAGGGAGTGGCACTATTTGAAAGGATGAGGAGGTGTGGTCTTGTTAGAGAAAGTGTATCATTCGGGGTGGGTTTTGAGGTTTCAGAAAGCCTAGTCTAAACCCAGAGTCTCTCTCTTCCTGTTGCCTACAGATCCAGATGTAGAACTCTCAACTACTGTCCGTAACATGTCTGCCTGCATGTCTGCCATGTCTGTCTTGCTTCCCCCATGACGAGACCTTTGAAACTGTAAGCAAGCCCCAAATAAATGATTTATTTTATAAGAGTTGCTGTGGTTATGGTATCTTCTTGTGGGACAACCCTTCTGTACACTATGGATATATCTTGCTCTCATTGATTGAGAGTAAAAACCACTTTGGCCAATAACAAGGCAGAATATAGTTAGGCAGAGAAGTCAAACTGAATGCAGGGAGAAAGAAGGGTGGAGTTGAGGGAGACACCAGCCAGCTGCCCAAGAAGCAAGATGCCAGCAGACCAGTAATGTCACGGTCCTGTGATGATACACAGATTAATAAAAATGGGTTAGTCTAAATGTAAGAGCTAGTTAGTAATATGCCTGAACTATAGGCCAAACGTTCTGTAATTAATATTAAGCCTCTGATTGATTATTTAGAAATGTCTGCAAGACAGAAAAACCTCTGTTTATAGTATCTTATCACAGCAATAGAACACTAATTAAGATAGTGAACAAGTTTCCCTCTTTAATTCCTTGAGAAAAGTGGGTTTCATGAGTTCCTTTGATGCATCTCCAAGGGTGGCTGCATCATAAGCAGCCTTTCTTCCCAGTTCACCTGCACTGTTCACTGCAGATAAAGAGTTCTATATGGCTACTTCAAACAGCAGCCTTTGCAGAATCCCATGACTGATTTTCCTTATTTAATTTCAAAACAAACCTTAAATGAATAAAGTTCCCTCTTTATCTCTTAACCTTTAACCTGGGTCTTGATTCTTAAAATGGGCTTCTGGTAGGCAACTTATAATCGATTATTTTCTAAAATCTTCAGGACAAAGACACACACACGCATGCACACACACACACACACACACACACACACAGAGAGAGAGAGAG